TCCTCTTCAAGATACCTATAGGGTTTTTAAAAATTCACCCACTTTGAATAAGTAGGCTTGGAATGGCGCCGTCTGTAATGCAAAAAAAATCTAGCTGTGAGCTGTGTCCAATTTGACCCACCCTGTACACGTGCCCCCCCACCAGTAAAAGGGCATACATCATATAGTGTAACCTTTATATATTTTAGTATCTATTTTTCACAATACAATAGGTCCCCACGACTTTCGAGTAAATCCCTATTTAGCATCCTAGGCTCCCTTACTAATAGTTACCACCAGCGAGTACCCGGGTACCGATAACGGTACAAAAAAGCAAAATTTACGACCGGAATCCTACCTCTCCACTTCTCGCGAGATATGATGTATGGAGATTAGTTTTCTGTTAAAACTAAATTGAAAAAGCTCGGGGGAAGCACAAGAACTGGGAAAAAGTGGGTACCATTTTAGATTGGTACTACGCTCGGATATCTATTTATCGACACGTTTCAACGCTATTCCCTATAGCTGAGATTAACCTAGATGTATCGCTTTAGCGCTTGAAGAGAAACGCATAAGTTTGGTCCAAAGTAGGGTCACAGCATTTTTAAAACCAGCTTGTCACTTTCGATTGTTTTTGAGTATTTGCGTTTCACATGCTGAGCCTATTCTGGTACACATATCAGCAGTGAGAGAGTGTTTACCAACTCAAACTGTGTACGCTTTGCTGGAGTCTTGTCAAAGGAAAAAAAAATAACCGTTGTCAAAAATCGATTTTTGTTTAATAATTTTCTATTTGATTTGCAATTATGCAAAACTTTCCAGTACGGAATTTACAAATAATAAATCATTTTCCTTCTTGTGATATAAGTATTAGCACAGGTAGAATGTAGAATGTTTAGGAGGGGAGTTAATCACCGCGATTTTACAGATCTATTTTGTTCCCCTTTCTTGAGTTATAACGAGTTATAACTCATCATGCAGTCTCAGGGCTTTAACAAAAGCCAGTACCTGGGACGGCTCCACAGAGCAGAGGCTAGCTCTCCATCCTCGATATCTGCCGTACCAAATGTTCATGGCACGAATGGTCGTCGTCTCGGTGCACTCAGTGATAAGGTGTTCTGGTGTTTCTCCACAGAATCTGCATTCGCCGTTGTTTCTCAGCTTCAGCCTGCTGAGGTGTTCGTTGAGGAGACAGTGTCCTGTTAGAAACCCCGTGACAATCTGAAGATTGTTTTTACTTAAATCAAGGAAAACCTTTGATTTTTCTCGGTCGTAAGTCCTGAGGAACTTTTTCGAGTGTCTTAGACCGTTGGAGGACACCCATTCCAAGTTACGGATGGAGTCTTCCAGATTCTTTCAGTTCCGCTTTCAGTTGGTTCCCGTTTGGAAAACAGAACGGTTCTGGTCCAGTTAGTGGAGTGTTTGCTCCTTTCCTAACTAGATCATTTGCTTTTCCATTGCCTTCTATCCCTTGGTGAGCAGGCACCCAGAGTAGGAGGACTTTATTTTCTTTGCCTAATTTGTTGAGCTTCTCTAGGCATTCTTTGACCAACTTCGAATTGATGGTTACTGAGTTGATCGCGCTTAGTGCTGCTTGACTATCGAATAGATTAGCACAGGTACTAGTACCAATATTAGTACCGTATGATCGAAAAAAAACGGCGTCAAAGACGGCTGGGGAATGATAACACTGGGGAACAATTTGAAAAATAATTTCTGTTGAGTTCGATATTTAAGCTGTTTTATAAGTAAATTGACATGCTAATTCCGTCACGTCAAGTTTCTTCCCTACAGGTGTAGTGACTACCCTTCGCAGGATTGAATGCGAATCACCTTGACCTTAAAATGGTCTGTTTCCTACTTGGCCAGCAACGCGGATATACCAAGTATCCCTGTTTTTTGTGCATGCTCGTGAGAAGCATTGGGTGCAATCGAACTGGCCGCCAAGATCTGACCTAAGATCTGGTGATCCCAACATTTTAAATCAGCCACTTGTTGACAGAAAAAAACATTATATTTCCGCCTTTGCATATAAAACTAGGTCTCATGAAGCAATTTGTGAAGGCTTTGTCAAAGGAGATTGCTTTAAGTATATCATTTCGGCATTCCCTAGCCTGTCATATGAAAAGATAAAGGCTGGTGTGTTTGATGGTCCACAAATTAGGCAACTCTTATAACATTAAAGATGAACATTTCACTGAAACAATGACCGAACTTAAAAGGAATGCTTGGTTGGCTTTCAAAAGTATTGTTAAAGACTTTCTAGGGTATACACGGGCCCCGAATTATATCGAAATTGTTGAACAACCTTTGGAGAGCTTTAAGGAGCTTGGTTGCAACATGAGCATCTAAGTGCAGAAAAATAAAGTACTTCCCAGAAAATCTTGGTGCTGTTAGTGATGAGCAAGGCGAGCGATTTCACCAAGATCTGAAGGTTATGGAGGCGCGATATCAAGGCAGATGGGATGGCAGTATGATGGCTGACTACTGTTGGGGCATCAAGCGCGAATTCCCACAAATTTGAACACTCCAGGAAAAGCTATAAGAGGATATTTTTGCCATAATATCCTTTTTTATGATTTTTTGTATAAACACAATTTAACTTTTAATATATTAACCTCTGTATGAATAAAATATTCTAATCTATTTGGTCAGATTTTACCTTATTTCCCTTTGTATGTGCACTTTTAAGGTAAAAGGAGGGATATGCTGTAGCTTAAAAACTTGATGTAATAGAGAAAAACTGTGAATATTTTTGAACTCAGAGAGCAAAAATTAGTCAAAAACAGGTTACAGATCCAAGTCAACAAAATTGCTGTTCCCCAGTGTAATCGGTAATAATTTTGGCGACGTTAATCTTTAGACTTCATTTACTAAAAATTGACATAAAACTTAATTCGAAAAAATTAAAATTCGTCGAAAATTAACGCTAATTATAAAAAGATTAAAAAAAAGATAGAACGTTTCCAGACAACAAATCTATTTCCAAAAAAGTATTTTTTCTAGAGTTTTAAACTATGCCATTTCAAAATAATGTTTACTCAATATAAAAATAAATAAAAACCTTCTTAAAATAAGGAAGAGTGCGGGCCAAGTAAATGACGTCTAGGGCTTGACCCCGCCAAAATTATCATCGATTGTCATTCCCCAGCCGTCTTTGACGCCGTTTTTTCGATCGTATGGTATTAACACGGCATATAAATTACAGTGATTTTTCAGTGATTGAATCAGTGATTTATATGCCGTGGTATTAATATAAAGGGGCACATGGACGTATCTCTAAAACTAATATTCTAAAAATAACTTTATTTTCAGTTTTTGCGTACCCAAAATAGTAAGACTTTGATGATAAGATTGATTTAAGATACATTTTAGCACCATATAAACAGAAAATCACTATATTTTCTGTTTATATCTGGTTAGTATATCTTGGATACTATTATTTTCTACAGTAAAGTTTGTCTTTATTTATATTATTTAATAATAATAATTACATACAATAAGCAATATCAAAGAAAAAAGAAAATCAAAAGAGGTTAAATAAATAAAACTAATAGTTCAATGTAACATTATTTTAATAACAAAATAACTATACAACGTAGGATAAACAAACAATTTAGCTGTGCTCGTTTAAATATCATCATTATCGCTTTAAAAATATAAAACACTATGCGCGCGCCTAAGAAATAAAAAAAACGAACAGAAAAAAGCATTTGAAACATCATCATCAATAACAAATAACGTTGAATACAATAAAATAAAAATACCGTAAAATATTTACAAATATAATAATTAGATTTTTTTCCGGAAAATATCACAAATCAATCATTTTGCACTAACCCATTCACATACAATTTTTATTCTTTCAGTTTTTTTTTGTTCACTAAAAGACTAACATGCAGCTAAAGCCCAATCAGTAACATTTAAAAGAAAAAAATCTATTTAATAATAATAGTAATAATAAAAATCAATAATCATCAAGCTTAAAAAAAATATCAATATATGTACAACGTAAGCGTGATTCACTTAAAACTACAAAACTATATTCACAACAATAAAAATATCAGTCTTTTTATTTCCGTAGATGAAGGTACTTTTTACAAGGCATCAGGTTAAAAAATAATATCTCTATAATATAATAATATACATATATAACCGATAAAAAAACATGATGCGATCTAGAAGGCACGGAACACAATTATTTTTCTTCTGTTTGAAGTATCTCGACAAGAATCTGCCAGTCAAATTTTCATAGCTCCCCATATATCAGAAGATTTGGTCTGCGAATTTGGTTAATCTTCTGGTACATAGAGGGCTTATTTGTTTTGTTATAGGGTAATAAAAATAACAATAATGTAATGAGGAATCTGAAATATTACAAGATAAATGGAAATTTACCATATGATCGAAAAAAAAACACAAAAAAGTGTCACAATGCCCTACGAAAGAATAATCAATGAAAATCTCCGTCCAATTGAAAAAAGTTGCTTTTACGACTGTAAATACTTATCTTTAATTTATCAAAATAAGTTAGTCGAAAAACAAAAATTCATCCAAATAGAATTTTCAGTGATACCTGGAAAATAAAATATAACCGGAATATTTTGTTTTTACCATAAGTTACACTGAAAATACAAATTGTAAAAGGGGTATGTTTTTCAAATCTTATAATATTTGTGATTCTTTATGGAAAAAAATTAAAAATTTAACTGGCAGTTAATTTTACTAGTTATAACATCTAGTCCATGCAGTCCAAACAGAATGATATACATATTATGCCTTTCTTCATGTTTTTTATCCATCAGACTATGTAGTATACTTTTCTACGCACTATCGATTTTTTGGCACTATCGACACATTTCATTAGTAATTTAATTATTTATATCACTTTTCGATTTCGCTATTTTTTATCACAGGTCTGGTGACAATAATTATTATTTTCTTTATTTGTATATTTGCACTTTTTTGTTGTTGTTTTCTTCTTCTGCACGGATCCGAAATCTCGGACCATATGTTTTTTTTAGTTGATTTTCATTCGTGATTCTCGTTTCGGAATGAAGTTTGTCAAACGTCAGTTTTCTCAGCGGCAACTGTGTAAATCTGAAAAGAACGAAAAAAATCAATTAGTTACATTTAGAGATGAGGTTCATTTAACTGTCTTTTTAATTTGATAATTGTTATTTTATGTGAACAGCGTAACTGTTATGTAGTGATGTACGAAAATATCGACATTTTCAAATATCGATACTTTCTGTTACATGTATCGATATTTTGATATTTTTTCCAGTTACATTGAAAAAGTCTCTAATCTTTTTTTAAGTTAACTATAGATGGGTTTACAGGGTGTTTTAAAAAACATGTGCCATCTCTCGTAGGGAGATTCCTCACGTAAAAATAAGATATATTTTTTATATCAACATAGGTCCGATTCTGCTTTGTTTCGTAGCTACAGGGTGCCAAATTCTTAAGACTTTAACACCCTGTAGCTACATAACAAAGTAGAATCGGACTTATACAAGGTGTCCCAGAAATAAGTGCAAGTATTTTAGTTCAACCCCAGAAACACGCCTATGAGGTTTTTTTTCGTGAACATTTTTTTTTGAAAATTCATAATATTTTGAAAAAATTTTTGGATTTTTTTTAGTTTTTAGTTAAAAAACATAATTTCTTGATAATATGGCAACATAGGTAGTAGATTAAATTTACAAGAAAGAAAATCCAGAAAAGATCCAGCGGTTCCCAAAATTTGAGCAAAAAATTTTTTTTTGGGAAATTTTCAAATTAAAATAACTCCGTTATTTTGGACTTATTTGAAAAACCATAAAGAAAAAATATGTTTCTTTTATCGAGATCTACCACTCCTTAAAATACTTGCACTTATTAATATGACACCCTGTATTAAAATGAAACCTAAATCTTATTTTTGCGTGAGGAATCTCCCCACGAGAGGTGGTACACGTTTTTTGAAACACCCTGTTTAATAACTCGATTATAATTTTTGAGTTTTAAACATTTTTTTCATAATAATTTTGAAATAATAATTATATTTGTCACTAAAATTTTAAATAGATTATTTTCCGTTCTGCATTTCAATTGTCACACACCAAACAGGTCACTACCCCAAACAGTGGTTGCGTTCTACTCTTATACCTCTGTCTAAGAAGACCAATGCCCGAAAGTGTGAAGATCACAGACTTATCAGACTGATGAGCCATACCCTAAAAATATTTCTGAAAATAATACACCAGAGAATTTACAAAAAATGTGAAAGGGACATAAGCGATTCGCAAATGGGGTTCAGACAAGGGTTAGGCACCAGGGAAGCGATAGTTGCAACACAGGTGCTTGTCCACAACTGCTACGATCAGACAAAGGATGTGTGCCTGTGCTTCATAGACTACGAAAAGGCATTCGATCGCGTACAGCACCACAAATTAATGCAGCTCCTGAAAAGACTTGTTATAGATCATAAAGACATCCAATGCATTGAGAAGTTATACTGGAACCAAACAGCACAAATAAAATTGTCCAATACCATGTCTAATCCCATACAAGTTAGAAGGGGGGTGCGACAGGGTTGTGTGCTGTCTCCACTACTATTTAATTTATACTCAGAAGCTATTTTCCAAGAGGCTCTGGAGGACGTGGAAATGGGGGTTAAAGTTAATGGAGTGTGGATTAATAATATCCGCTATGCCGACGATACGGTCTTAATTGCAGACAATATACACGACCTACAACAACTGGTCAACAAGGTAGGAGAACAGAGCAAAGCAATGGGTTTAAACATCAACATCAAGAAAACCAAATTTATGATTATATCCAGAAACCCAGATGTGTTTATAAACTCCATCCTAACATTTAACTCAAGGCCCATAGAAAGAGTAGATAAATTTAAGTACTTGGGCATCTGGCTCTCCCGAAGATTGGACACATCAGACAAAAGGGAAATTAAATGTCGCATCGAACAAGCTCGACAGGCTTCTTGAGGTTTCGAAAAGTACTTGTCTGTTCTGATTTTGACCTTCTCCTTTATGGTATGGAAGGTTGGACATTGAAAGCAACTACCACCAACAAATTGGAGGCTTTTGAGATGTGGCTACATCGCAGAATCCTGAAGATACCTTGGACGGTTAGATTGACAAATGAGGAAGTTCTCAGACGCGTTGACATAGAGCGTGAATTATTTGAATTGATTAAAAAGAAAAAGACCGCATACCAGGGGCACATAATGCGAAACCCCAAATATCAATTCTTGCATTTGTTGACAGAAGGCAAGATCGAAGGACGGAGGGGTATCGGAAGGAAGAAAATGCCTTGGCTGAGGAATAGTAGACAGTGGACAGGGCTACTCGATGTTCAGTCGTTAATACACACCGCCCGGAACAGGGAAGCAATGGAAAATGTTATCGCAAACATCCATTAATGGATTTGCACTAGAAGAAAAAGAATATTTCAATTGTACCAACTTATCTCTTTATAAAATAAACTGCTTTGAAATTAAGATGACAGATAAATTTACATACAGGACAGACTAAAAATAATAGACAATTTTTTTGAGTTCCTACAGTTCAAACTGTTGCGCTAAATCGATAGTGCTGCCCGTCTCTAGTTTCATTCATTCCGAACGTGATAACGAGGGAAACGTTCGTTATCTTAAGGCAACGATTAAGGCGTTGTCTTAAAGGGGTTATGTTAATGCTCGTTCTAAAAATAGTACTGGAATTATTTATACTGCCGTTTTATAACAGAATAGAAAGCTGAACTGGTTTTATATAATGCGACACAGACGAGGAAAAAACGATCCGCGACCAAGTGCGTGGTCACTGTAAAAATCGACCTTTATACAGTGTGATCCATATGTATAAAGATACTATATAATAACCTACATCTGTACTTCTCATTGTAAATGTTCCTGTCTATAAAGGGCGCATTCTCAGGACTCGATTTTAGTTGATCAACTTAAGTTGATCAAGAATTTTCGCTCGAGTTATCCCATCACTACTAATTATGCAGTCTGCAAAACTAATCTGTTAAATTGGAACAGCAAATGGCCAGATAAAATTTGTTTGCAAGAGTGAGATCAAAAATGATGTCAGTACTGTTCAAAATACGTATGATGCGAATGTTATTAGTATAGCCGTAAATAAAATTACCGAAAATTTACAGATATGTTGGTTTATTTAAAATTCAGTGGTCTATCCATTGCGAATTGGCATCGTGCCAAGAAAGACAGCTATATTTAAACAATTTAAAAATATCAAGAAAATTATATCCCAAACATGGGCTAAATTAGAATAAGGTATAATCCCAGTATAGTACTTGTTACACAGACATAGTAAAAATAATAATTATACAGTGCTTAAAAAACAGGTTTTAGTTTAGCTTGTCGAAGTTGGTTATAATAAATAAAACTATTGATAATTGCTTTTTTTATATAATCAAAGTAGGCCAGATGAACCTAAACCTTATTGCTTTGCACAAAAGTCCACCAAAAAAAATGCAGGATCGACACATTACTACTAGGTAACAGAATCGATCTCAATCAAGATCAAACCGCTTCGTTCCGGGCTGATGCGTCGACGCCCGGAACCCGGGGGATTCCCCTTATAGCTTAGCCATTAAAAATAAGTGAAACAAACAGGTTAGTTGTTAGATTTCTTTCTGGCGTATGTGAAGTGAAAAAAAGCGTTTTTGAATATCTCTTGAAGTTGAATATCTCTTGAACTAAAAAAGATTTTTGGATGCGGTTTGGACCAGGTTTTAGATGCATCTATTGTGATTAAGATGCTATGTGGTTTTCGAAAATATATTTAGTGAATTCTCGTATACAGGGTGTTTTATAAGAGTGTGAAAATTTGGTCAAGAATCTTTTTTACCGCAAATTTACAATTTTTAAAAAATCGAAATTTTTACCAAGTACGACTAATCTGTATTGAAATTAGAAAAAACAATTTGATCGTTTTTTTATTTTTTTTTTGTTTTAAGGAAAATACGACGTTTTATCGAAAAATATGCATTTTTAGTCATACGTATGGTCCTAAATGGTACAAAAAGGTTTGTACATTCTGCATATGCCGAAACATTATTCATATAGAGTGTATCTAAAAGCAGATAACTAACACAAGTTAAAAAAAAACTTGAACATCAGAATAATATTTTTATTTATAAAATAAGTAGATAAATTATAATAAAATTTAAGTTTATTTAATATTAAATACGTGTATATTTTTTGAACACTCTGTATACATCGGTTCAAATTTTTGTACAGCTAGTTTAAGATACACGCTATATCAATATATTATGGGCCTATGCAAAATGTACAATGCCTTTTGTACCATTTAGGACCAACTGTATGACTATTGTTTACAGTCCCGCAATTTTGCGGATCCGCGGGATTGGTTGCTTTAATCCCGCGGGTTTGCGGGATTGACATTTTGGTGCGGGATTGCATTCCCTAGTTATAACTCAAGAAAAGGGGACACGATAGATCTATAAGGTCATGGTGATTAAATTCTCCCCTCCCATACACATAACATCTACAATAATGATTCAATTACCATAAAAAATAACTGAACTTGTTGAATACTTACAAAACTTAGTTTCTCGACCTCCCCGTAAACTTTGGGGTCTCCATCGACGTCTACCAGTACGGGGTGGAGTTCTCCAAATGATTCCAACTAGCAAAGTCTGCCCAAGAGTCCAGCTTAGCTTGGGAGGCATCGCGGCACTTTGAAGTCTTACTAATTCCGTTCCTCATATTTTCAACGACTTTCTTCCCAAACAGCGAGTTGTCAGACAAAGATCTATGGATCGGCGCCACGGCCTTCTTTACTACAACGTAATTTGCTCCGGAATTACTGTCCCAATACTCCTTCCCTTCGCATCGGAAGCACACGCAAAACTCCACACGTCTAGATCGAGGAGGGAGATTAATCTTGAAAGAAAACGTATCGAAAACAACAAAAGTCCCCGTAGAGGGTAAGTTGTTCGGTACAAAGTTACAGAAAGCATCTTCGTGCGTTTTCCAGTTGTCAGTTGACAAACGCACAAACACCTCTTTGTGGAAAGCCAGGTTTTTCACTTTAACTGTCCCCACTATTTGGTCTTCAGTTTCCTTGATGATTACGTTCTCCAAGGACACCATATCCGTGTCCAGTTTCTTCCTAAATGTCACGTAGTCAGAAGCAGGTTGAACAAACGTGATTTCCCACGGTTCTTTTTGAACTTCCGGTTCTGCGGTGACGCCTCTGGTAACTTCAGCAAGAAACCTCATGCTCCATAGCGGAGGTACGTTGGAAGGTTCTGTCATAACCCTCACATGAGTCAAAGACATGCCTTTATCATCGGCAAAAACGACCTTTTTCTTGAGCTTGGTAGGACTGGTAGGATCTTCGTCTCCTGAGCTAAAAGAGTCTTCGTTGGGTCTGATGACCAGACAGGGTCTTTTCGGTGAGGTTGGTAGGGTTGCTATGGACTTGTGGAAGTTGGTTAACGAGTGCTGTCTGCAGTTGTAGGGTTTTTGGAGGCGAGGTAGCGAAGCTAGGTCGCTGAGGAAGCCCGTGGGAGGACTGTGGCTGAAGACAGGGGGGCTGTGCGGGAGGAACATCTCGTAGTCGACCATGGAGCACATCTGGGAGCTTCTAGAAAAGAAGAAAAAATAGTCTATAAGTTTTATTCCAGATTAACATCAGTTAATTAAAAAAAATATATATAGTTACATATTTATTGTTCAGGGTGAGTCTTAAATAAGTGCAAACATTTTAAGGGTGGTGTACTATGATCCAAGGAACACCTTAATAATGCTGTCATTTTATATGTAAAATTATATAGGGAATGTCAGTGATGTTCATTTCCCAGCCAACTGGATGCCGTTTTCTTCGATCATACGGTATTTTATACCCCTAGTTGGTAAAATATCACTTTAAATGCTTCAATGTATGGAACACTCCCATTATATACAGGGTGAGTCATAAATAAGTGCAAATATTTTCAGGGCTGGTAGAAAAGAAACATATTTTCTCTTTACCGCTTTAAAAAAAAAAAAACATGATTTTTTGCTCAAATTTTGAGAACCACTAGATCTTTTCTGGGTTTTCGTTCTTGTAAAATATTATCAAGAAATTATCGTTTTTAACTAAAAACTAAAAAAAAATCAGTTTTTTTAAAATACTTCCAGATTTTCAATTTTTTTTGTTCGCGAAAAAAACCGCATAATCGTGTTTCTGGAGTAGAAATATAGTACACCCAAAACTATTTGCAGCTATTTAAGACTCACAGTATATACAGGGTGTTTCAAAACAAATGCGAAAAACTTTAGGGGGTGATTCCTTGTTCAACCATTAGGGAGATATCGCGGTACAAAGATGGCGGAAAAATAATGTTTTTATTTTTTATCTTGAAAACGAAAAGAGATTCTATTGAAAAGAGACTATTGAAATTTTATGGAAGCATTATTGTTATGAAAACACACTTTCAGGTATTTTTTTTACTTTTTTAAAATGAGTGGAAGGGGTTGAAATAAACTACCCCTATCATTCTTGTTAACGAAATTTAAAAAAAAATCTTATCAAACACATGCAAATGCTTTAATTTGGATAGTTTAGTTTGTTTAGAAACTTTTTTACCTCTTGTGTTTTTTTGATAAAACTCACCGATTGGAAATTAAAAAATAAAATGTAAAACATTACATGTCATAGACAAAAACATTTTTAGATTAAGAATCTAGCATAATAACGATAATAATAATCATCTGATAATAACGTATGCGGTAGAGTAATGTCAAATAAAATAATATTAGGAACATCCTAAAAGTAACAGCGGCCGACTAGATTTTTTCCTAAAATTACAGCAGCCCACTAGATTCTTTATCAGAAAATGTTTTTTGTCCTGACATGTAATGCTTTACATTTTAAATTTCAATTTCAAAATCGGTGAGTTTTATCAAAAAATACAAGAGGATAAAAAAAGTTTCTAAACAAACTAAACTTGATCAAGATTTATTTTTTTGAATGTGTTTCTGATAAGATTTCAAATTAACTCGTTAAAGAAATGCCTATTTATTTAAAAGTGAAATTCAACCCATGTTTAAAAAGTGAAAATTTTTGAGTAAAGTCTTGTTTTCATAAAGCATGTAATGGATAAGATTTTTTTCTCTTAAATTTCGTTAACAAGAATGATAGGGGTATTTATTTCAACCCGTTCCACTCATTTTAAAAAAAGTGAAAACATCACCAGAAAGTGTGTTTTCATAATGTAATGACTTCCATAAAATTTTATTAGTCTATTCTCTTTTCGTTTTCAAGCAAGGGAATAACCCAGTTTTTCCGCATTTGTACCCTGAAACACCCTGTATATGATTGTAGATAAAAGTATTTTCTTTATATAGTAAATTTGAATCCCAGAAATACCTACGTCTATGAGGTTTTTTTCGTGAAAAAATAATTGAAAATCTCGAGAAAAAATGTTTAAAATTTTTTTCAAAAAAATTTTGAACATTTTTTCTTGATCATATGGCAACCGAGGTACTAGGTTAAATTTACAAGAAAGAAAACTCAGAAAAGATCCAGTGGTTCTCAAAATTTAACCAAAACGTCATTCTTTTTTATTTTCAAAGTAAAATAACTCAGTTATTTGAAAAACGCTAAAGAGAAGAAATATGTTTCTTTTATCGAGATCTATGTACCAGCCCTGAAAATATTTGCAATTATTTAAGACCCACCCTGTGTGTCAGAATCCATATTTTTATATTATTAAAACACCGAACATATCAATAGTATTTTTTTAAACAGACGTCTCTTTCTTTACAAAGCATGATAAAAAAATCCAAAAATAATTTTAATCCATTCTTTAAATTTAGGTTAAATTAAATCTTTGGTTGTTTTCCAACGATCCATTTTTATATTTAATGTTTTTTATGAGTTTTTTTGTTATTCAAGCATATAAAATATGTGATGCATGTGATGGCTAGCTACGTCAAGGCTTAAAAAAAAACTTGTGGATTAAAGAAAGATAATTATTGTCCGAATTAGAGAATGGCGCCAATAAATTAAACGTATTTTTTAGGTAATCCATCATAATAACCACGAAGATATGGATTATCTGCTTAAATAAAAATAGAAACGCCGATATGCACGTAACAAACACACTTTGGCAATAAATAAATGTTCTAATGATGTCAATAAAAATGAAGTCTTCAGAATAACAATAAAAATATACGTTTCCCGAAATCTCCTGAAGAGTTAAGCGCTTTTCAGATTCCAAGAAAAAAAAAGTGAATTTCATCAAAGAAGCATATGACTAAAATGTAAAGTTTTTGACATATTTATAGGTATTTAAAACATTTTCTGAAAATGAAGAATAAACCTAAGTTTCAATAACAGTTAACCTAAATTCTAATTTAACCTATATAGCCTGATATTTAGTTAAAATAACCAATCGTCTGTTAAACTAAATTAAAATTTGAAAATTGGTCACATTTTATTACTAATTATTCTCTCTATGTAGGATGTTTCCATTTTCAGCAAATTTCTGATTTTTTTTTCATTTTAACTGGCACAAAATGATAACTATAGTCTATAAAATGAATAACTTTGAATTTTGACCGTTATTTTTTACCAACATGGCAAATATAAAATCCCTCTATCCAAAAAGTTACTGATATTCTTTAAAATGAGTGCCGGAGCGAATCAGATAGGTAACTCTTTTTACTTTCGTGAAATAGAAAAGGAAAATAACAAAACAAGTTACAGTTCAATGCGAAACTTATGCGAAATGTCATAATTGACAAAAGTAAAATGTCATCAGCCCTTTCACATTTCTAAATATCAGACCAATGCCGGCTCTAATAGAACAGCCTCGGAGCGAGATTTATGACGTCACGCTGGTTAGATACAACGGATTAATAAATATGTTGTAGAATACATGGAAAACATAATTATTCCTCGTATTTTTGGTTTGTACTTTAAAACTGATATAGTTTACATGAAATATACATAATATACAGTTAATAAATACAATATATATATACCTATTTATAGTAATAAATACTTTGGCAAATAAACTATGAACCATACAAATGCAGCAAATATTTTACAATATACCTACAAATAATGAATAGGTAGATAAGATAATGGGTAAAATGTAAAAAATATTTTAGATTTTGGGGTTTGAAAATCGATCTAATTTAATAAAAAACATTCAATATCTACTAATTGTGATGTATTATTATTTGCATTCACAAAATTTATATGTATATTTTGCAAGCATTAATGTTCGAAAAATTATATTTGCAAATAATACAATATCATAGAAAAAAGGCGTCAGCGATGGCTATGAAATAAAGATCGCTGTCATTTTATATGTAAAATTATTCTAAAATTTTTGATTTTCTTGGGATTTAGGTTCGGGAAAAGCACTGATTAAATTTTCATTTGGTTTTTCATTATTTTTTTTTGGTTTAAAAAAAACGTTATAGCCTAAAATATATAAAATAAATAAAAAAATAAACGTTTATAGCCTTCATCAGTGTTGTGTCATATGAAAAAAATAGTGTCGAATATAATCCAAAAAATTACATATACGAGGAATAATAATTATGTTTTCCATGTATTCTACAACATAATTAATCCGTAGTATCTAACTAGGGTGACGTCATACATCTCGCTCAGAGGCTGTTCTATTAGAGACGGCATTGCATCAGCATGGCCGCAAGTTGCTAACCTAATAAAATTTACACTAGAAAAGCCCGCGGGAACTGTCAAATTCAAAGTTATTCGTTTCACAGACTATATATACATATTTCAAAACTAAAGGCTTTGTACTACATTTGTTTAGGTCATGGAGCTTGATGCAGTTCACTGTGGTTTTAACAGCCACAAAATCAAGAAAATCTCGCCTTACCTCTACCAAATCATCAATCAAAAAGTAAGTAAAATTGGCTCTAAGGACCAACAACAAATCAGTTTTAATATGTGTTCGTAAGTATTTGTTGTATCTGAATTGTATAATTTTAAAAGTAAATATTTTTTTTCATTTTGTTTATTATTAGCTGCTAGAAGATAGTGAAAAAGAAAAGCGAATTTTAATGTAGGTATTCGCTAGTATAGTCTGTGAAACGAATAACTTTGAATTTGACAGTTCCCGCGGGCTTTTCTAGTGTTAATTTTATTAGGTTAGCACTTGGTTAGCAACTTGCGGTCATGCTGACGCAATGCCGTCTCTAATAGAACAGCCTTGGAGCGAGATTTATGACGTCACACTAGTTAGATACTACAGATTAATAACTATGTTTGTATTTTAAAAATGATATAGTTTACATGAAATATACATAATATACAGTTAATAAATACAATATATATACCTATTTATATTAATAAATATTTTGGCAGATAAACTATGAACCATACAAATACAGCAAATGTTTTACAATATGGCTGAAATCGTACTCCATAGTCAGTGTAGAAAGTTTTTGTGTTAAGAATAATAATTTTAAAAAATATGTGGTCATCTTTTGACAAATTTATATTAGTTTATTAATTGCAGTAAACATTATAATATATAAATAAATGTTGTGATTGCAAATAATAATACATCACTATTAGTAGATATTGAATGTTTTTTGTTAAATTAGATCGATTTTCAA